CAACCCCGAAAACCCCGACCCCCGAAAGTTCGACCCCGACGACCCCGAACCCCGAAAAATTTTTATGCCCCCGACTCAAACTGCATTAATTAACAAGAGATCGGAACGGGATCGGGACTTTGATGTTAAATATATGAAGGAAAAGGGAAAGGAATATTTATATTTTCTCCTATTTCCTTTTGTTGGTCGGTGGTTGTGAGGTTAGGTTAACTGACTTCACCCATTTAGCTATTTTGATAGGGATGTTGTTCGAATCCATGGATGGGAATGAGGCTGAGAAGATTTTTCTTCTCAAAAATAAATATTTTTAAACTTTGATCTTGATTTTAAATTTGCAACTTTATTTTTTTTAATATTTTAAACTTGAAACAATATTAGAAATATTAAACTAATATTAGAAATATTAAACTAGAAATATTAAACTCATTCGAAAGAGCTCGCCGAGCTGAGTCAATCAGGGACCGAGATACAGACCCCTGAAGTTTGAAAAAGAGAAGGGGGGTCGAATGAGCTATTATTTGCATTTTCGAATTTTTCACCCCAAAGTGAGCTTACTCCCCCCTTCTCTTTTTCAAACTTCAGGGGTCTGTATCTCGGTCCCTGATTGTCGGATCGGCTCCACTCGCCCCTCAATCGACTCAGCTCGGCGAGCTCTTTCGAATGACACCTCATTTGACCAAATCGGTCCAGCCAAAAAAAACCCCTATAAGTCACAACATTCTCATTTTTTAATGAAAATGTTGATTTTGAACAGTAATGTTGGATAAAAATGCTGGATTTTGTAAATTTTTACTTCAACCCCGACCCCCGACCCCGACCCCGAACCCCGACATAATTTTCAGCCCCGACCCCGACCCCGAACAATTTGAGCAACCCCGACCCCGACCCCGACTTTGTCAACCCCGAAAACCCCGACCCCCGACTTTTTCAACCCCGAAGGCTCGGGGCGCAACCCTAATTCGAAAGGATAACCCACTTTAGAAAATAATTTATAATTATGATTCTAACCAGATCATGACGTATTTTACGTGTTATTCGATGCTGCCGTTTACGATTGATTAAATTAATTAACTCCCCATATTCTAAATCAAGCTGAGCAGGCTGCAATTACATTATTGTCTAATTGAAACTATGTATGAAAAGTATTGTAAGTTAGGGTTCTCCAAAATTCTCATTTTATTAAAGTTTACATTCGAATGAGATGTCTGCGCCGAAAATTTCATAGCCGCAAGTGTACGATCCCGCAAGTGTTAAAATAGGAGCGAGCAGCAAGTGTCTGAGTCGCAAATGTATACGATCGCAATACCACCCCAACACAAAGAATAACAATCCCCGTAGATATCCCACCTGTTCCAAACCGAATATCACCCTGCTGCATTGTACATCAAATTGTCGAACTTGTAACAGCTATTGAAAGATACGTATATAAAACAAGTTAAAATCATTAATTTTAATTTAAGTTAGTATTTATAAAATAAATTAAGACAATCAATTATAAATACCGTTTCCAAAATCGGATTAGCAAATTTAAGAAATTGCTCATAGGGACTTTATGAAAATTTCGCCTTTAGTGATTCTCTTAATTAGTGGAGGGTAATTCTTTATCATGCTGTGTTTACATAGAAAGCGTCTCGAGTTTTGCTGCAAAAATAGCATTGTGAATGAAGAGACGCGATTTTGTCTCTACTCCTTTTGCTTACTATTTCTTGCCGCAAAACGCAAGACGTTTTTTATGTCATCACAGCATTAGAGGGTAATTTCAGTAATTTTAGGTGATAATATAAATATATTATAAACAAATTTATAAATTATGCAAATAAATTTACTTCAGCTTGAGTTATTCCTGGAGCCGAATTATATTGACTTTCAATAGTTCGAGCTTCATCTACCTGAAATTATGTCATGAATTTTTAATCAGTAAAACAGAAGTATGTCAAATTAAATCTTTGATCAAATCTTTGATGTACCCAAAATAAGTCAGAAATTCTTAAAATAAAATACTTTTCCACATTTTCCGAATACTATCAAAGATTTTCTAATAACAAGTTATGCATTTTTAGTAAATAATAATAAATTTAACCAGATTTTGCAACTCATTTACATTTCCTTCTTGGCCATACGTAATTAAACGGTTATTTAAATTTTGTAATGCAGTTTGAAGCGCCTCATTTACATTTGGCTATAAAAATTATTTAAAAGTTATTAATGTTGAAATTATCAAAAACAAGCAACTAAGTAATTCCATAATAATTTATCAGGAAAACTATAGTAACAATTAAATTAAAAAGCCTGTGGTCTGCAAAGATGATTCGCCTAGCATCTTTAAAACGCTTAAGTGGGGGTTAAACGATCTAAAAAAAGAAAAGATAAAACAATAGCGATGCCCCGGTAGCTCAGTGGTAGAGAGTATATGTGGTGGTCGAAAGCAGAGGTGATGAAAATGGAAGAAATCAAATCCTTCGATCCTATTAAACTCTCGATATCCCTCCTAATACACAAATATCGCTATTAATCCCAAATTCCCTGATATCCTTTTTAACCACTCAAATCCCACAATCTCTTTTAATCCTTTCAAACCAATGTCTCAACCCCGACATCCTCCTTAATTCCTTATGTCCCCTTAATCTCACGATGTCCCTAATATTCGCCCAAATCTTTCGATGTCCTTTTTATCCCCTTGATAATATCTCAGGTTATTGATTTCAGATTGAACTTCTTTTTATTAACCATAACTTTGCACTTTAAAATTTTAAATATTAATTCAGCTATGTATGAAAATAAAAATTTTATTTGCGAGTTCCGACTTCCGGCATTTTTTCCTTCCAATTTCCGAAAAAATATTTTGATTTCCGAGTTCCAACTTTTGAGCCAGTGCCTTTTTCCGGCTCTTCCGATTTCCGACACTTCTGACCGTTCCGGCCCACCTCTGCTCGAAAACGCCTAGCAATTTCTGTCAATAGGTCGCAGGTTCGAATCCTGCCTGGTGGCTAAACTTTTGCTAAAATCATTCTGGTCCGGAAAATAGCGGGTCCTAGAAATTGATGAGAAAATTTGGGTCCGTAAAATTTTTATAATAAATTTGACACGAAAACACCTGTACTCGTCCACCTCCAGGTCTAGCACAAGACACGACATCGAATTCAAAAATAACCACCAATAGAACATATGTAATAAAAATTTTGCCTCTAATCGAACACATTTTTGTGTTTTTAAATGAAGATTTTTGGAATTTTATCTGAATAAAATTAAAAAAACAAATTAAAAGTAGATTTGAAATTATTTGAAATTGTTGAAATTATTAATAATTATTCTATATAAATAAATTATTCTAATAAAAATTATTAAAAATTATTCTAATTATTCTAAATTATTATTAAAAATTATATAAATAGTAAAGCAAATTACAATCAGAAGCGGCCATAAGATCTAATTCAAAAAATTATTTTAAATTATCTTGAATGGACAATATATAATATGTGTTAATGTTTTAAATGTAATCAACTTTGAAGAATAACATTAAATTAAATACAAGAAATTTTAGAGCGTGAGGGGGCTAGGATGGTCGCTGACAGTGATGGGAAAGTTCAAGTTCTACACCAATGCGGTACCAGTTCCGAAACGGGAACTGTCAAATATAAAAATGCGGTAACTGCAACTGGAACTGAAGAAATTCAAAAAGCAGTTCCAGAACTGGAACGGTTTCAGATAAATTTTGGAAATATAAATTAAATGTAAATTTTTATGTAAAGCTTAATATTGTAATTGGTCGTGATAAAAGTCACGTTAAACAAAATGAGAAGTTTTAAATATCCGATCGAGAAATGGAAAAAAAGTAAAATATAAACGGAAAATAATAAGAGTTTTATAATCTGCATAGATGTTGTAAATAAATTCGCAGGGCGATCAATTAAATTAACAAGTGATCGACGTAGCCGGAGATAGAGCGGATAAAAGATTTTAAGAGCAAAATTTCTGTATTACGGCCCGCCAAGGTTTTAAAAATTTAAGACTGAGTCGGAAACAGAGCCAACAAAACCGCGAGTTTGTAATAAAACCAACATATTACTATAAAACAACTTCATAAATTTCTTTTTAATTAAAATTCCCCAATTCTCTTTTTAATTTTTAAATTCTCTAATAAAATTTATAAGGGTTATTGAATAAATCGGTCGATTTTCCTCATAAATGTCCGCGCATTTAAATTTATTTATTGCCTGTTATATTGATTTTAAAACTAGCTGACTACGATGTCTAATTAACGTTAATAAATTTATTAATTTTAAATTTAATTTAAATATATATAGCCATTGATAAAAGTTTTGTGTTTTGTCTTTAAAAAACTAAATATGTATAGATAAAACATACCGATATTAGTTAATATATTTCCTTTTGACTTTGGTCTTTTTCCATTAACTACTAGTACTAATTCTGCATGCATTGGTATTTTTTAAACTAAATCTTTATCTATGTATAAAACATCTATGTTCTTGGATAGAGATCAACACATTATTTCCATATAGATGTTTGACAACTCCGATCTTTCGAGGTGTCAAACCATTCCTGGCAACAGCGGAGCATCGGCACAACAACTTCTTCACGGAAATGACGAGAGCTGGGCCGGTCTCTAGATTGATTGAATTATAAATTAATAGATGAGTCGACACTAAATTATGACTGATGGAGGCTGATGGAGGCCTCGGCATTAAGTAAAATTTAATAAGTAAAATTTTAATAACCTCCTTCAAATTACTCAATTTTTGGAAAATTCATAAATTTTAATTTTTAAATATTTATTTTGAGCCTAAATTTTGAATTTTCATTTATATTTAAATTTTTCAAAAAACGAAACGGATTAAATTTTATGCTTTATTTAAATTTATTATGTTTTTAGTGATAAAAATAGAAAGCATTAATATGTAAAGGGTAGAAGGTATAAAAAAGACTGAGGCTTGAAGATGGGCGAGGACCACGCTTTTAATCACTTCTTTCCAAAAATTTTTTCAAAAGTTTGAACATTTCAAGTAATCATTACTAATTAAAAAATATTCAAGTTGGTGAGAGACCATTAAACGATTAGTAAATTCATTTTCAATACTTCGATTAATTAAACGAAAACATTCATCCAATCTCTGAGCCCCTTCAATTAAACCTAATCTACGTTGATTATATCGAAGTAAAATATTTGTATATTTAGACGATTCGTTATAAAGTAATTCCTTTCCTTCAGAAGACAAGCCTTTAGCATCTTTTTTATAATAATAAAAATTTATTTAAATTCTATTTAAACCGACATAGGCCATACACATAACGGTTAGGCCAAACAGCCTTTAAATGCAAGCTTATAACTTTGCCAATTTATGACTTATATAAATAGGTAAAGTTTTGCATAATCGGAAAGGCTAGTTAACTCATATACAAATTTTAAAATTTTCAATTTGAAATTAAAAAAGAGACATCAATGGAATTCTTAATTCTTAAGACATGCAATAAGTTATAAGGGGGCAAGCAATTTTTAGTTCGCCTTTAAAAATTAAAGTTTTACCCGCTTTCGAAAAGATAATAGCTACCAATAAAGCAAATTCAATTTTTGTTAATGCAAAACGTTTGAAGTGAACAACAGATTTTGTATAACCATAATCTGACCATTTAATCATTCTAATAATGGAAAAAAACATGTTTTCTAATTTTTAAAAAAATTTATTTACTTATCGTCATTTGCAAAATGCTTCATAATAGCAAGAGCTGGCATAACATTATCTTTACGTGTCCACGTTTCAGAACCTAATTCACATGCTAGATAGGTGTTTGTAAATGATGTAAACAAATAAGAAATACTCCTTAGATTTGCAATCTAAATATTTATCAAAAGAAAATTAGATTTTAGGTTAATCGAGTTTTTATTATTCGTTTGTCTTTATTTGCGTTTTAGCAAACCCATTATACCAGGGGTGTAACGAAACTGATTTTAAGAGTTTAGGTTTGATCAATTTAAGAACAATATCATAATCGAGGATCGGATTAACACGGAACTCTTTGCCAAAATTCTTATGTACGTGATTATATGTACCTGATCAGATAAAGTCAATTTTTCAAAAACAGGCATAGATTTAGCTATACAACAAGTAAAAGTCTGTCAACAAGAATACATTTTTGAGCTCTACTATTAAATATTCCTTCACGTTGTACTGAGGATTCCCAACTATTTAATTCATCAAAAGGTATTGGAATTGGATTTGGCTTTAAATCAAAATTTTATTGAAAATTAAATTAAAATTTACCGAGAAATTCCCAGTTAAACGAAAAATATTAAAATCTGTTAAAATTATTTCTTCAAACAAAATCGGGCCATGAAGGAATATATCATCTAAATCATTAAATGCATGCATAATACGTTTTTTGGCTTCAATAATTGGCAAAAGTGAGTTTATCAGGTTTAGGTCTTTGATGGTTATGTCGACATTTGGGGAATTTAGTATCTTAAAAATAAAGAGAATTTTAATTCTTGTTTGTTATTATGTTTTGTTTTTTGTTTCTTCGGGTTTCCTTGGTAAAACTTTGAAATTAGCTAAAGATAGATGGATGTTTTTGTTTTGATTTCGATAATTTGAACTTTTTCAATATTCGAACTTCAAAGATTTTTTCAACCATAGTCTACAGTAACAGTGTTTTCCAATTCTGTATAAAATAAATAAATTTACTTTATTTTCCTTTTTTTGGTTTTCCATCGCTTCCTGGCATATATCATTACGTAAATATCTAACTTCTAAAATACTTTTATTAAATTACCGTATTTATTCTAATAGTGCGACTGTCTCTATTAGACCGACCTCTTCTGATAAACCGACCCCTAGAATATCGGTGGATTCGGTGGGATATCGAAAGATATAAGGCTGTTTAAGCGATTAAGTGGATTAAGGTATATGGATTTAGAGATTATAAGTAACCTAGGCACCAGAGATTTGCTGAAATCAGGGATGTCCGCAAATAAGAGACTAGTAAAGACTAGTCTAAAAATAAGGGATATGAAGTATTTGGGAAGCTTTATTTTGATATCTGATTTAGAGACATATAGAAGATGAGGAATTTGAAAGAATTGAGAGAGTTATAATGAGATTTGTAAGGATAACAACGGATAACAGAGGACCAAAATTAAAAAAAAAACAACGGATAACAGAGGACCTTTGTACCAAAATTAAAGTCCCCCAGGAGAATAGAATTTTCATTCAACTTGTCATTTTACACTTATTTTGACAAACCCAATTTTTTCATTCCAGCAGAAAGACATTTTTCAAGTCTACATTTTTTACATTTTGCCAAATTTGGTTGGGATTTTTCGTTTGTATTTTTTTCTGAACATTTACATAAATTATATTTACATTGATTTTCGTTTTCAAGATAACGCCTGTTGAAAAGAAATTTTTGAAAAAATTCCGTCACATCCCCTATACTCTGATTTGGGCAAACAATATTTCATTCGAAAGAGCTCGACGGGAAGTCAAAGACACCATAAGCAATTCGATTTGATGATACTGAACAAGCTTATGAAAATATTTTTGTGTATTTGACTAGGCTCGAAGAGGTTATTCAAACCACCCAAAATTTTCATATTCGAATTTTTCGCCTAAAAATCTTTTTCTTTAGGGAAAAGAAAGAAATTATATGTAATATTTAATATTAATTATTTTAAAAGCTAAAATAGTAGTAAAGTTAAAATAAAAATTATTTTTACCTGAAAAAATTCTATAAACGATATTCTTTAATTAAACCGTTTATTTCAATTTTTATAAAAATATCCTCAAAGGCCTGTTAATAAACAATTATCAACTTTATTTTAATTAGAAAAAATACCAATTTATTTTAAAAATGCAAAGAAATTTTATTAAAAAATGCAAAGTTTGTGGGTCAAAAGAAAATGTTTGTTTTAATTATAGAGTTTGCACATGTATGGCTTGTGGGTCTTTTTTCAGGTATTTTGTATAAATTTAATTTTAAAAAATTTGGTAAAATTCCGTCATATTTGCCATAATCCGATTTGGACAAATAATATTTTCATTCGAAAAAAATAAGTTCCGAACTAACCTATGGGCATGAGGGGAAAGTTCTAGTTCCGGAACTGATGCGGTTACAGTTCCAGTTCTGGAAAAGGTAGGTTTAGAAGATTTCTTTCTTTTCCCTAAAGAAAAAGATTTTTAGGCGAAAAATTCGAATATAAAAATTTTGGGTGGTTTGAATAACCTCTTCGAGCCTAGTCAAATACACAAAAATATTTTCATAAGCTTGTTCAGTATCATCAAATCGAATTGCTTATGGTGTCTTTGACTTCCCGTCGAGCTCTTTCGAATGAAATATTGTTTGCCCAAATCAGAGTATAGGGGATGTGACGGAATTTTTTCAAAAATTTCTTTTCAACAGGCGTTATCTTGAAAACGAAAATCAATGTAAATATAATTTATGTAAATGTTCAGAAAAAAATACAAACGAAAAATCCCAACCAAATTTGGCAAAATGTAAAAAATGTAGACTTGAAAAATGTCTTTCTGCTGGAATGAAAAAATTGGGTTTGTCAAAATAAGTGTAAAATGACAAGTTGAATGAAAATTCTATTCTCCTGGGGGACTTTAATTTTGGTACAAAGGTCCTCTGTTATCCGTTGTTTTTTTTTTTAATTTTGGTCCTCTGTTATCCGTTGTTATCCTTACAAATCTCATTATAACTCTCTCAATTCTTTCAAATTCCTCATCTTCTATATGTCTCTAAATCAGATATCAAAATAAAGCTTCCCAAATACTTCATATCCCTTATTTTTAGACTAGTCTTTACTAGTCTCTTATTTGCGGACATCCCTGATTTCAGCAAATCTCTGGTGCCTAGGTTACTTATAATCTCTAAATCCATATACCTTAATCCACTTAATCGCTTAAACAGCCTTATATCTTTCGATATCCCACCGAATCCACCGATATTCTAGGGGTCGGTTTATCAGAAGAGGTCGGTCTAATAGAGACAGTCGCACTATTAGAATAAATACGGTAATTTAATAAAAGTATTTTAGAAGTTAGATATTTACGTAATGATATATGCCAGGAAGCGATGGAAAACCAAAAAAAGGAAAATAAAGTAAATTTATTTATTTTATACAGAATTGGAAAACACTGTTACAATGTCGGGCAGAAATTTTCGTGTAATATTTCGAATAAATATTTAAAAAGTATAGAAGATGACAGGATGTTAATGAAAGAAATGAAAGGAAAATTATGACAAAACTTTAAAAATAAACATTAAATATGATTAAAAATAATCGGAACTTTGAATCTACTCTCTCCTGAGAGGTTCTATTAGGAACGAAGGTGAAAAATTCCCAACTGAATTTGAAGATACTTATTTAGAGTTTAGATACTGTCAATATTGAATAATTCTTTAAGACCTATTCAAGTTTTGTCATAATTTTGTATGAGGCTAATCTACTTTTGTTTTTTTTCATCAACACGATTCGACACGCATGTTCCTCCCATCCTTCTAATCTTCCCGTTATCTTCCTTTCATTAAAATTTTTTAATATAATTATATAATTATAGTCATTACTTCAATTGCCTGAACCAGATGCACGATGTCCACCTCGACGTCCACGTGAAACACCAAGTCGACCTTGTCCTTGATGCCCTTGTCCATGTTGGCCATGTCCACTTGTTCCTGCATCTTAATGTGGTAATTAATTCATAAAATATTTTTTTCCTCTTTACTCCCATTATAAAAATACAATTAGGCATTCTCGTTAAATCGCACTCTCGTGAAAATAAACTGAGATTACATTGACCAAATGGTATTTTTATTCTGAGAGACTTCAGTCGGTTATCAGACGGGGATTATATTAAAGTCAATTAATTACCTGCAGTTTGCTTATCTAGATAATCATTGTAGTGTTGACGGACATAACCGAGAATTTTTTTCATATCTGCCATAAGTATGTGTTGTCGCTCATGGATCTATCGAATAAATATCGTTTTTAAAAGTACTTATTTTACCTCATATTTTTCTATATCATTGTGGCTTTTACCGACTTGATGTGATAAATTAGTATATACACTAGCTAAATTAACATATTGTTCTTTAACATCATTACCGGTGACCTGTTCAGTGTTTTCTTAATTTTTAAAAATAAATTGTTATTATAATGAAAAATTATTTTATATAAATTAAAAAAATATTACCTAACGGCCGAACTAAATCCGAGTAGGGGTAAGCGTTGCCAACTATTTCAAGCAATGAACGAATTTCATAGTCTAATCGTGTAAAAGCCTGATAAAATGTATTTATATAATCTCACTAAAATAAATGTACCAACCAGATCCTCAAGTTGTTGTGTTCCCGAACCCTCTCCTTGATACATTCCGCCTGGTTGTGACCCTGAAGGACCTTCTCCTGGATTCATTCCCAATAATAATGAAAACAATTGGAGAAAATAAAAATTTAAAAGAATTAAATCGTAAATTTTCATTCTTGAATTAAATAATAAAATTTATGCATTATTTAGATTAATATCTCATACGATTTAGAATTTTACCTTAAGAAAGGAACTTTTGATTAGTCAAATTTCGGCAACTTCCCTCCGTTCTAATTTTTAAGAATTTTATTTAGAAAAACTTTTTCAAAATATTATTTTTCTTTAAGAAAGTTTTGAAAGGGGGATCTTATTTAAAAAAATGAAATTAAATTTTATTGTATTAAATAATAAATAATACAAGCAATATACTATGTCTTTTAAAGGCACTCAGACGCGCATATAACTACAGTGTTTAACTCACTCAGCGACCGCTTTAGATTTTTTTACCTTTCCATTAAATGGATTTTTAAATTTTATTTTTTTGCACTCGGGAAATGGACATCCGTCTCAAGAGCGTATAAACATCCCAACAGAGTTTAGAGAGACACTTATATTCAGGCGAGATGATTAATGCTTAACGCTTAAAATTTATTGTACGCAAATCTTTAACACGTGCCCTCTTTTCTTTTAACTTACAAGCAATAGTACTTTTCAATTTATTGATTGACAAATTTAAATGTACTTTTGTTTTTAAATTAAATTATAAATTGATTTTATATTTC